ACTGATGTAGCCACAAATCAAACCTTGAATAACCATAGAGTTTGTTTGTATGCTCAATGATTCTTAGACTAGGAAAAATACTCTGCTACTGCATAATATTAGGCCCTACCACAAACAGAGTCTTGAACAATTACGTATAAATAGGCTTCTGCTTGACAATGTCTGCTACATACATGAATTAAACTAGAATTACAGCAAGAGAGAAATGGCCACCCCATGTGAGAAATTGTCCCGCTTTGTAAGACATTCAAGTTTCAACAGAAAAATTTCATTACAGTCTTGCTAGTTTTGAGACTTTTATCTTTGTAAGAAAAAAAAAAAAATTACATCTAAGTCCACAAAACAAATTACAAGATTAAAGAGAGAAACTCACATAAGCAGTGAATACGAGTGCGAACACCATAATTGATATCCCCAAGTTATTGGAAAACTCATACATTAACTTGCTGGCAACAAAGACACAGAAAATGGTGACCGGAGCAACAATAAGCAAAATAGTCAGCGCCAGCGATCTTACATCCGGCCCAAATATAAACCTCCCTTGAAGAAAAAATATCTGCAACAACAACAACAACAACACCGTTTTTTATTTCTTCAGGAAATTTCTTTAAATGATTATATCCACAACAGTGATAAAACATCATTTTCAGCTAAAAAAAATGGAAGAATTTCCAAGTACAAATTCAAACAGTGACAGAAAAAGAATCAGAGAAGCTTACATTGCTGCCTTTCCAAGTTTCGTAAACCCGTAAATCTCCCGAACCACCGGAGGAACCCGGATCCGATCGCTTAGGCGGCGGCGGCACTACGTACATCTCTTTCTCGCTCTAACTCAGCTGGATTACACTTTAGTATAGATTAAAAAAAAAAAGAAAAAGAAAAAAGGAAGTTCTAAAAGAGAAACGATTTCACTAGATTCTTCGGTTAGAGGTCATCGGAGAAAGAATGAAGGCGAGTGGAAATCCGGCGAGTAAGGGAATCGCCGAGAAAGCATGAGAAATGGAGTTTATGCGTAATGTTTCAGGGAGGGTTAACACTTAACAGAGAATCTAGGTGATTGCATTATGTGTTTGTTTGCTTTACAGTGAGGGTGTGTGTAGGGGGGACGACTGTTAACGTGGCGGACAATGATTGGTCGGTGGCCGTGATGGAACTGGCACCGGTGAGAT